TGTGATCTTGCTTTATAGCAACATCCAGGGTACGTCCACTCAATTATATTGCAAGGATTCACACAGAGGGCTTGTAATTATAGCTTTTTATTAATTTGCATAAGTTGCAAAGTTTACATGAGTAGTGTTCATAAAAAAGCTCAAAGCATATCAGCAAAGTTTTTAGTCCAGAATATGACCCCTTTTCAAGGCATCACAGGAAGTGGCCCTGGGCCTCCCATTTTTAGAATGTAAAAAAAAAGGGGGTAGGCAGGAGAGGTGAGCCTCATTCAAATGGTTACTGAAATACTTTATTTGAATCACCCATCTTCCCTTTCCTAAGGATTATTCAAATAGGTGGGCTACTCCACTTTATGTAGACACTGTCTTTCTCTTGCATGAACAAGGTCACCATCATTCCCATGGAGGATGTTCCTTCTTTCAATGTTCCAATGAATAAGAAATTGAAATTTCTCTATGGAAGTCTCCATTTCTGTGGCAGTCTTTGCCTCAGCCCTTGACTATGAGAAACTGATCTAAACTTTTGCACCAGGATATGGCTGCTGGAAATTCTCCCCAGAACCCTAAAGGTATGACAGACCAGGTTGTGCAGGCGATCAGTTATCTTTTGTGACACCTTCTTGGACAGTTAGAGGGCTCACATCAGCATTGTCTATGTCAGGAGCGCCCACAATTTTGAATATGGAGATCTACTTTTCAAATGACGAGCTCAATGTGATCTATCAACGAAAAAACACCTGCATTCAGGGGTGGGAGGGGGCGTGGTGGTGCATTGAAGTCAATGGCACTGGATCCACACCCCCCGCCCGCAGTGTGCAAGCACTATTTTTGCAGATCGCACTGGACTGGAACACAGGTACTAATGTGCCTGCGATCCGGGTGCGGGCGATCGCACTGTGGGTAGGGGGGCGTGGCTGTGGTGCCATTGACTTTAATATAACCCCACACCACCTCCCGCCCCTGAATGCAGGGAGCCGGCCGGCTTGCATTCCAGTGCGTTCTAGAGGCCGAACACTCTGGAACGCAGACTTTGTGGTGTGAACCGGCCCTCTCTCTTGGCTGTCTCTTCTCTCTCTGTCTGCTCGCTCTCTCCCCTGTTTCTATCTGCTGTCTTTCTTCTCTCTCTCTGCTGTCTGTTCTCTCACTTTTTCTGCTGTCTTTTCCATCTGTCTTTTCTTACCTCTACTGCAGCAGTGTCTCCTCTCGTGTGCCAGTGTCCCTTTCTCCTGCGGTGCTCATGTGGCCGACATTGCACACAGGGAGAGGTGTCCCGCCCCTGACACATTCAGCCGCACAAGCACCGCGGGAGCAGAGCCGTAGCTAACTCCTTTTGCCCCGAGGCAAGAAAAAAAAACGTTCCCCCCAACAGTCGTGTGACGTCACCCAGCGCCACGCCTCCAGGATGTGTTTTTTAATATTTTTTTTAACCACTTGCCGTCCGCCCGTTGTAAAAAAAACGGACGGACGGCACTGCAGCATTGGTGGGTTGCCGTCTCCAGACGGCATTTTTTTTCTGCTCGCGCGAGCCCCCTAGCAGGCGCGCACGGGCAGAAAAGAACCGACCAATGCAAACACCCGTTACCGGGTGTTTCACATATAGACGATTCGCAGCTCCATAGCCCGCCGATCGTCTATATGTGCTCTTTTTTTGCCCCCCCCTGACCCCTCACCTTCAATCCCGGGATCCGCTGCCCCATCTGCGGCCCGGGATCGGGTCGGGAGGGCGTCAGGAGGAAGAGGAAGGGAGATCAGCTCCTTGCTGACCTCCCTCCGGGCTGTGAATGCAGAAGTGATGTGTATTACATCACTTCCGCATTCACCTGTCAGTCATCTGGCTGCTATAGCCAGAGAAAAGAAGCTGATGAAGCAGATCTCTGCTTCATCAGCTTCTTTTGGGGTCCACAGGTGACATTAGGGGTCCTAGGGACCCCTAATGTCTCCATAAAGAGGATCTGTCAGTGTGCCTTTGCTATTATATGGGTGGAATATCTCCCTATATAATAGCAATAACAATAAGTGCAAAAAAAATATATAAATTTAAAAAATTTAAAAAAATAAAAGTCACATATAAAAAAGTAAAATAAAATAAAAGTTACATGTAAAAAAACCACCCCCAAAATGTTTAACTCCCCCACCCCCACGTTTACGCAGATATAAACGTAAATACGCGCCCGGTGCACCAGCGCGCAAAAACGACAATTGCGATACACACGCAATTCCCCGTTGAGAAATTCATAAATGAACAGGAAGTGATGTAAAGCACTTCCTGTTCATTCATAACTGGGGACACAGTACTACCGGTATGTGTTATTTCCAAACACTGATCAGCTGATCGCTCCAGCGTTTGCTCTGCACAGAGGATTGGAACATATCACTGATATGTACCGAGCCTCCGCCGCTCAGCCACGCACATAGCTCAGCCTGCAGCTTTTCCTTTGGATCCCCGCTGCTCTCCCCCGCCTGTATGCAGTGGGGATCCGAGGAGCAGTAAAGGAAGCACTGATGCCAGCAGGTGGGGGGGTGGAGGAGGGAGCCGCTGTCACAGCAGCATAGCCGAGCGGTGAGGAGAGAGAGAGCTGCCGGCAGAGCCCTTTAGAGCAGCGGTTCTCAACCTGGGGGTCAAATGACGATTTGCAGGGGTCGCCCGGGAGTCTCCCGCTATTAGATAGAGGCTCCCGGCCGCCCAGGAGAGAAACACTTTCTCCCGGAAAGGTTTACTCTGCATGATCAACAGAGTAAACCTTTCCCTGCAATCGTTTTTTTTTGTTTTTTGTTTTTTTTTCTGACATCGAGGGCCGCCGTAAGTCAGAAAAAAAACAACAACATAGGAATGCATAGCTAGATTCCTATTGGCTATTTTACTTTGCAATAGCCAATAGCAAACTAGCTATTGCACCCACCCTCTGCTGCTGCCAATCAGCAGAGGGGGACCTGCAGTTCTTCATTAGGCCCTCTTCTAGTGATTGACAGCAGCAGAGGGCGGATCCAATAGCTAGTTTGCTATTGACTATTGCAAATTGAAATGGCCATCTAGCTATGCATTCCTATGGTGTTTTTTTTATTGTTTTTTTTTTTTATTCTGACGGCGTACGCCAGTGGTTCTCAACCTGTGGGTCGCTGTATGATTTCTGCTGTGCCTCTCCTAGCACGGCAGTGGCAGTTCTCCCGCCACGCCGCCAGATGTCGCTGCAGAAGCCACGTCATCCCTAAATTTTACTGTTGGGGGTCACCACAACTTGGCAAATGTTACCAAGGGGTCCCGCCCCTAGAAAGGTTGAGAGCCACTGCTTTGGAGGGACATCTTGGCAAACCTGGACAAATTGCTGTATTCCCTTAAGGCCTCATTCACACACAACACAAGCGCAAAATTGTATATGCGTATATATGTGTACATGCGAGCGTATGTGCGTATATGCGTGCACTATTTGCAATCCCACAATGCATCATTCATAATAGAAATGTTAATGAACTGTATGTGCGTACGTGTGTATATGTGCGCAAACACACGTATATGCGCGTAAATACGCTGCCCGGACGCATCTCGGTTCCATTCTGTTTTTGTACATTTTTACGCTACGAAAATATACGGCTCCATACACAATTATGTGTATGGAGCCATTTATTTGCAAATGCTGCATATGGTACTATGCGCGGCAGTGTGAATGAGGCCTTAAAAGTAGAATATTTTTGTCAGTTCAGACAAAGCTGGAGCTGCTGCGATTACTCTTGTCAGTAACTGTCTCACAGGGTCATTTCAGTCTATTGAAAATTCCTTTTCCAGCTGGATAGTAGGAAGGCAGTCTCTCGGTCAACATTCTAGAGCTTCGGGTAATCCACATAGCTCCTTTGTGCTGTTCCTTTCAACTTCAGAAGCATCCATTAAGAGTTAAGTACAACAAGGCCACCTTGATAGCCTACATAAATTATTGGGGATCCGTATGGCAAGAAGAGAAGTGGCTCACATCCGGCTCTGGATAAAATATCATATATCAACTCTATCTGCAGTCTACATCCAGAGAGTGGATAGTTAGGTGACAACTGTCTTTCTAAGCTGTCAATAATTGGACTAGGGGAATGGCTGCTGCTTCAAATGTACTTCCTCATATGCTGTTTAAAAGGAACTAGTCTAGGAATCCCTTAACAGATGCAGCCAACTCTTTAGTTTTCCCCACAGGACCTGTACTTTTTGATGTGTGATTTTTTTCCACTCAGGATTATCCCTCATCTTTGCAGAAGGATCAAATGGAGGCGGCTATCTCCTCTCCTGGTTGTTTCAGACTGGCCAAGAAGGACCTTGATACTCTACATGAATCTCTTTGATTGTAGACCCCCTGGTCTCTGACCGATCAGAAACAAAGATCACCTGTCTTAGTGTCCAGTTATCAGTTAATGTTAGGGAACCAGGTTCACGTTTTGTTAAATTTGACAGCATGACTATTGAGACCTAGGTTCGGAAAAAATGTGGCAAACCTATTTCCAACATAATTGAGCTGCCTTCCTGCTGCCTTTATCCCAGTATTTGGAAGGTCTTTCTTTAATGTTGTATTGCTCAGGCTCTCAACTTCCTTAACCTAGTTTTTACCAGTGCCTTGCCCTGAGTACCCCTCAAAGGCCAGATTTCCTCACTTTTGATATTGTTTTGAGGACTTCTGGCTTATCTCTTTTTGAAGAAGCTGGCCTTTCTGGTTGCCATCACCTTGGTAAGAAGAGTTTTTGAATTGTTGGCTCTTTCCCATAGCAAATTATTTTAGAAACTGCATAAAGACAATGTGGTCCTTAGACCTGTTTTTTTTAACATTACCTTTGACTGCTAGCTACTCCTGAGGCTGGCTGATAAAAGAAATGGTCAAGCCCTTTTGCTTCCTTCTGTCCAACCTCCTTGTAGCAGTACATATACCAAGTAGTCTACTATGTCCCTCAATTAATTTATGGAGAAAAGAGAGTGAGTAGACAAAATAATGTTTTTCACTTTGATAACCTGTCTTAATTTATTTTCCTAGACAATTGGAAAAGGGGGTAAAAAGGTCATCCAGAGTGATGAATGGAGACATTTCACTGTTGAGGAAAGGCTGGAGTATGCCCTTGTCAAGGTAAGATCTATCTGGTTTGTCTAACTAATGGACTTATGAAAATCAAACAATTGAAAAATAAATTCTGAGTGATTGCTATAGGCTCCTGCATGTTATCCAATTACAAAGGAGGCACGAAATGAAATTTTTTGACCAAAAGTGAAATTTCTAAATTTGTCAGGCCGAAACTGAAAATTTCTTTTGTCCAACCTTTTTAAAATAATTTTTAATTATTTGTTTTAATATATACTTTACTGTTAGGGCTTTGGGGAAATATCAGGGGTCTAAACAGACCCCTGAAAATTTCCCTTTTGTAATAGAAAAATAGATTGAGGGCACAGAGTCCTAAACATCTTTTTCTGCAGCGCCTGTTATGAATTAACAGGAAGCCTCTATACTGAGCTGCTCCTGTCCACACCCATGAATGAACAGGAAGTGATGTATTGCACTTCCTATTCATTCTTAATTAGGGACACAGTAACTAAATACTATGTCCTTTACAAACTTCGGTGTAGTCCGAGCTGATCACACTGATGATTGAGCAGTACATGGAAGGATCAGCAAATATTTCACATATTTGCTGATCCATCCCCCTCTCCATCCTGAACCGTTCTGCCCCTCCCCTCCCCCTTTTCTCCTCCTTCCGCTCTCCTCCTCCCCACTGATGCTGTCAGTTTTAACAGCTTCTCCCTTCCCTGCTGGGCATCGACAGCTAGATTGGCTCTTTGTCCACTCCAATCCCCACTGCCTCTGCTGACTCAGGAGGATTAGAGGGGACACAGAATGAAGCTTGCAGCTGGCCCCCAGTAGGAAGGAGAGAAGCTGGGGATGCACCATATTTTCATCTGTTTTAGTTTTTTTTATTATCAGCATTTTACCCATAGTAACATTTTCAGGTGAAACTTTAGTGCATCCCTACTAATTACTCAGCTCTGTGTGTGATGTGGAGTGCTTACACTTTCTTTTAGTGTTCTGTAGCCCAGCTTTTATAACATATAGGTCTTGTTCACGCCAGAAAGCTGCTCTAACTGCACAGCTGCACTGATGCACCAGATCGCACTACTTCCCTTTTTTTTGTTATAACTTTATTGAAATGTCACAAGTGACATTTCATGATCTTCTATCGGCACTGCATGGTGGATTGTGGCTACATTGTTTCGGACCACGCTGCAACAGTAGTTTTTTTTTTCCTCTTTTTCTTTAGTACACTCCACCGTAACACGTGAAGGCATTGGGACTGCGCTAGAAAAAGCAGCCAGTGCAGCACCTATGCTTCTGGTGTGAGCAGGCCCTTAGGCTGGCCATAAACGATGACATCTTTTTCCTTCAACCTGTGGGATGAGCAAAGCAGCGTGGATGGATGATTCTCCCGCTGAGCTGTTGTATTATGACAGCTGATTGGCTGCCGTCCACTATACCCCCCCAAAATGTTGAACCTGCTTCAATTTTCTGATGGAAGGATGCCAGATGGAAGGGTGTCGACAAGGCCACCCACTGAACAAATAAATGTATAGCAACCTGATCACTTATACATGTGAACTGACAGACTGGCATGCGGCACCCCCAGTCTCCTGGCTCCTCTTTAAGCCCGAGTCTTCTGGAGGCATGATCAAAAGGGAGAGGTGATAGAGAAAATAGTTTCCGATCCCCTGTGTTCAGCTCCATGCAATTCCGGGTTTACGACAGTCAAAATCTCAGCACAGATGCCAGGTATACCAGCAGACAGTCACTTTCTGTACTTGATCTGTTTGTTGGTATAAATGGCAGGGGAGACATCAGGGTTTAATAGACCCCTGAGGTCTCCATAAAACACTTCTTACTACTATCACAGTGATGTAATTAGCCCCATTGGGATAGTAGTAGGAAAAAATATACAACACCTACATATCTATACGCACATACATACATAAACTTCAATTACACATCCCTATGCATGCCAGAGGTAGAAGAATAGGGCCATTTTTTAAGTTTAACTGTAAACTGATAGCCTTTTACAGATTTAATGTGCCAACGTTTTACAATTATGGATACCTTCTTTTTTGTTGATTTCTGCACTATTTTTTACCTAGAAATATGTATTAACACATACACAGTGTTTTATTAACTGACACAGTCCTTTTTTTTTAAAATGTTTATTCAACATGTTCGCAATGGCCCTGCTGCACATTCATATTGTCCCAGACTGGGCGGTGAATTATAACCATTGTACTTACTAATATCCAGTAAATTAAAATATACACATTTACTATTCATACAGCGGAGATGTATGTATCAAAACTTACACATTTTTGGGGTCCCTTTATTTGAGATAAGTGGGAGAAAATAATTTAGTAAAAACATTTGCAATATTATTATACAAAATAAGTTACACATTAAAGCTCCAACTATAAATATTTATATATATTTTGATCCAGCTTGGCCCAATGCAGGTTATATATATACACTGAGTGGCCAGATTATTATGACCACCTGGCGTTTGTAGGCAATTAGCTATAATTAGCTATAATTTCGCCATGAAGTTGCTAGAGGGCCAGACCATTGTAAATAGGGAAGCAAGTTGTTTATCAGGACAGTAGAAGTGATTTTTTTTCTGACGATATGGGTAAACAACGCGATTTAACAGCCTTTGAGCGTGGGATGATTGTTGGCGCTCGCGCCATGGAGCGAAGCAAACAGCAGAATGTGTTAAATGTTCAAGAGCAGCTGTTGTTAAAGTGTTTAAAATCTGGGTCTGAACGTGTGAATTGTGGCCGTCAGCGACTAGTCAACGTTAGGGCAGAACGGAGAGTGGCAAGACTGGTACAAGACAACAGAAGGGCAACAGTGCAGTGTCAGATTCCTCGCATCACCTTTCAACATCTCGTGGAGTCACGAGGCGGCCCAACGAAGTCATCTCGTGGCTCAACGAAGTACTGATGTGATGGTCATAATAATCTGGCCACTCAGTGTGTGTGCAGATATATATATATATCTACACACACACACACAGTTGTGTGAAAAAGTGTTGGCCCCCTTCCTGATTTTTCATTGTTTTGCATGTTTGTCCCACTTTAATGTTTCAGATCATCAAACAAATTTGAAAATATTAGTCAAAGATAACACAAGTAAACATAACATTAAGTTTTTAAAGGAAAGTTTTTATTATTAAGGAAAAACAAAATCCAACCCCACATGGCCCTGTGTGAAAAAGTGTTTGCCCCCTAAACCTAATAACTGGTTGGGCCACCCTTAGCATCAAGAACTGCAATCAAGCGTTTGCGATAACTTGCAATGAGTCTGTTACAGCGCTGTGCAGGAATTTTGGTCCACTCATCTTTGCCGAATTGTTGTAATGCAGCCACATTGGAAGATTTTTGAGCATGAACCACATTTTTAAGGTCATGCCACAGCATCTCAATAGGATTCAGGTCAGGACTTTGACTAGGCCACTCCAAAGTCTTCATTTGTCACGTCCTACTGCCTGCGTTTTATGAACCACAACTGCGGAGGGCTGAGTGACTGTGTTTTATCTCTAATTATGGCAATCAGTACTGAACTCCAGGCGTCACTCTCAGGAAGGAGAGTTAGGAGTTCTTGACATCATCTGCCAAATTAGGGTTGGAATCTGTTACGGGTGTGCAGGGAAGGTATTGCTTCCTACCCGTCACTGCTCCATAGGGTTAATTTGGGTGCGATCACCACATATGGTCTAAGTTAACGGAATGGTTTCACCCTTAATATAAATGCACCGAGGAGTTCAGTTCAAGCATACGGTTAACAGAAAGTCTTATTCTTATATTGAGTGCATCAATGTAATCAGATCCAGCATTAGGCAAAATGGTAGTCTCATTCAAGTAATAGGTCTCGCAATGTAATCAAATCTAGCATAGGCAAAGGTCTCATTTAAGTAGTAAGTACTGCAATGTAATCAAATCCAGCATAGGCAAAATTATAGTATGATTCAAGTAATAAGTATTGCAATGTAGTCAAATCCAGCATAAGCAAAATGACAATATATGAAGAAAGGTACTTATCGGTCCCTGGAAGGTACTGGCTGCTCAATGGCAAGGCTGCCTCAGTAGGAGTCCGGATCCAGTGAGTCGCAGGGGTTCAGGCAAAAAGGCTGGCTTGGATCCTCCAGGCTGGTAAGGATTCAGGGAGCAGATTCGGTTGGGGGTTGCAGGCGTTACCGCAATAACGGAATGCCGTGCATGTCCCCCAAGCCGGCTTTTAAGACAAGAGGAAGTGCGGGTGGGCAGAGCCGCACGTTCCTCTTGGCACTTCCGTGTTCCAGCGTGGAACGCAGCGGCGCCCAACACACACATCACTGCGCCGTTGCCGAGTGCGTTCCACACTGGAACGCAGCGGCGATCTTCGGGCGGATGCTCATTACATCATTTTGTTTTTCTTCAGCCATTCAGAGGTGGACTTGCTGGTGTGTTTCACCATTCATCATCATGAATGATTCATTCATCATTGTCCTGCTGCAGAACCCAAGTTCGCTTCAGCTTGAGGTCACGAACAGATGGCCGCACATTATCCTTCAGGATTTTTTGGTAGACAGCAGAATTCATGGTTCCATTTATCACTGCAAGTTGTCCAGGTCCTGAAGCAGCAAAACAGCCCCAGACCATCACACTACCACCACCATATTTTACTGTTGGTATGATGTTCTCTTTCTGAAATGCGGTGTTACTCTTTTGCCAGATGTAATGTGACGCACACCTTCCAAAAAGTTCAACTTTTGGCTCGTCAGTCCACAGGGTATTTTCCCAAAAGTCTTGGGGATCATCAAGATGTTATCTGGCATAACGGAGACGAGTTTTTATGTTCTTTTTTCTCAGCAGCGGTTTTCTTATTGGAACTCTGCCATGCAGGCCATTTTTGCCCAGTCTCTTTCTTATGGTGGAGTCATGAACACTGACCTGAACTGAGGCAAGTGAGGCCTGCAGTTCTTTGGATGTTGTTGTGGGGTCTTTTGTGACCTTTTGGATGAGTCGTCGCTGCGCTCTTGGGGTAATTTTGGTTGGCCGCCCACTCCT